GGGCCCAGCCAGCCATGCATTTCCAAAAGCTGCTCTTGTGGCCTTGCTAGTTCTTCAATTTCCTTTTGCATTAAAAGTTCCACTGACAGCTGCTCAGTGCTCCAGATGGAGGTTTGCAAACACAAAGTGGAACACAGAAATGCTCTGGGACTGGGGAAGGGACAAGAGAAGGGAATGTGCTGACTGAGGAAACACACTGGCACTGAACCATTCCCTACCACTCTTCCACTTCCTGCACCCCAGACGGCCTGGATAATTAACTACTTGCTATACTAAAATCTTCATATTAGCTGAAAGCCCAGAGAACTAGAATAAACAGGAGAAACAGCAAAGATGAAATGTGAACAGCTTGCTTTTTTAAAAAAAAAAAAAAAAAAAAAGAGCTTCACACTGGCACTGAACCATTCCCTACCACTCTTCCACTTCCTGCACCCCAGACGGCCTGGATAATTAACTACTTGCTATACTAAAATCTTCATATTAGCTGAAAGCCCAGAGAACTAGAATAAACAGGAGAAACAGCAAAGATGAAATGTGAACAGCTTGTTTTTTTAAAAAAAAAAAAAAAAAAAGAAGAGCTTTTCACAAGCCTTCAGAGTTCTCCAGCACGAGCTGAGCTGCCCCTTTGCCAGAAGCCCTGGTTTAAGGCAGCAGAAACACAACCTTGCCTCACACCAGTGGAGGAGGAAACATGGCACACCAGGAGCCAGTCCAGTTCCCACTGCTGCCCCTCACCATTCACATAGAAAATAATAGGATTTACAGTTCCCTCATCTACATCCACACAGCACACGTGCCTTTACTTTTCTGCAGGTTAGCCACACACAGAGCACAGCCACCAAGCACAGCCAAGTGGCAACTAAGGTTCCCACAGCTCTTCTCCCCCTCCCAATTCATTACAAGGCTTACAGAAAAACTTTGAAAGTGCACATTTCAGTAGCTAAAATTTAATTCAATCTTGGTAAGAAAAACAAACAAAAAAACCCAAAACCAAATCCAGAAAGATGCAAGAATGTGTTTCAGCATCAAGTTCTGGAGCTGTTCCTTACTTCAAATAACAAAGACTTAAATCAAAGTACATCAAAAACATTCAGTCTTCTATAAATGCAAGATCCATGGAAAAAAAATTCCTTTTATTAAGACTCTACAAGGTCTCCAGCAGTGTGCTGTCATGAGCTGGTAGTGGCAAAAAGTTTGAGAGAATCACAGCACTCTTGAGATGGAGGAAAAGCCTCTCTCTGTTTCAGTCCCTGACATCCCCACTTGATGGGAGTGTCCCAGGCCATACCTGTCACCACAACCATCCCTACACCTCCCCTCTCCCCAGCAAAAGAAAACAAAACCTCCCTCTCCCACACAGCCCCTCCCCAACACTTATCTTCTGAAATGGGCAGCCCTGCATTCTATCCCCCCTAACAAGGCTGTGGGTGCAGCACTCTGGGGAAACCGGGGGTTACTGGATGGAGGAAGAGGTGACCAATCAGC